AATTGTACCAAACCCATATGATAGTATAGAAAAATTCTATCAGCCTATTTTTTTTCAGGCATGAAACAAAGTTTATGGAGGAAGAGAAAAGGGATAGGCTTACAGAACAAGATGTGTTTGCCATAGACAGTAATGGGCCTCCATTGCCAGGGCGAGTAGGCAAAGAGGCACAGAGGCCCACCCTATAAGCCGATATTAATGAAAAGCTGTAACTTGGGAAGCCTCAATATGATGTCAGTTCCTACCAATTCAACTAAAAGGGCAGCGGAATTTCACCAATACCTTTACAGTATTATGGAATTGTAAAGTACATCTGAAAGAGAAACGGGGTAGTAATAGCTGAGAAAATCTTCAAACAAAGGAATGAGAAAGAACTTAACTTTCTCTACAACAACAGACACTGTAATGTTGCAGTAAGTAAAAATGTAATATTGATGTAGGAATGGACAAATAGAAGAATGTAGCAGAAGAGATGCCCAAAACTGACCTGTGATGGGAGTGTGGAGAGAGAAATCATTTGTACTCATTTTCAAATCATTTGTACTATTCAGCAAATGGTATTGAGACAATTGACTTTCATGTGCAAAAAAATTATATTAGTCCTTACCTTACACCAAATATAAAGATGAGTTTCACATATATTAAGATCTAACATTTTTAAAGCACTTAGGAGTTTTAGATAAATATAGTATGATTTCAAGGAAGGTTAATAAATAAACGATTACTGTTTTGAACTCTTAAGATAAGGAAAGCCTTTCTAAGCATGTCACGTAATCCAGAAACTACAAAAGTTTCATTCATTAATTCATTAAAAAAATACTTATTGCCTTGTTCCAGTCCCTGGAATACACTAGCGAATAATATAAACACACTGCCTGCACTAAGCTTATATTTCAGAACATATGTAAATATTCAAGCAAAACAATACATAAGATAATTACACGTCAACTGAAAACATGAGAGTTCATAAGTTGGGAGAGAACTTTATTTCTTATAAAGAGTTACAACCTATAGGTTGGGAAGGGGTCCTCAGGCTAATGGGAGAGGCAGACACTTTAAGGGAGAGAAGAGAGAGATCAGAATTTATTCTGAATGAGTTGTTTAAGTATGCATATTCAACAGGTTATAGAAGGAACTATAAATATTCATAAGGGGGAAGGGCCATAACACATGTGCCAAAACAAACATATATGTTACATGTATCTCATATTCACAATGGGGTAGAGACTTAACATTTAAAAGCATTAAAATTAGGCCTTATACATCAAAATGTGAAGTCGGCACAAAAAGGCACTCAATGCACTGCCTCTGTAAACCAGCTAGAACCAGCCCATGGTTTATGATCTCTTTATCTGGAAAAAGTTATTGAGATGAATCTCTTAGCCAATCAAAGCTGTAGTTATGGCTTGTGGAATAGGGGGTCATTTGCTCAGCTTCTGGCAGTGGATTCAATATTGCTTACCTTGAGGAGAGGGCTTTTATAGCTGCTAGAAAAACTGTGCAGTGGTGTAATGCCTTGTTTATAACTTGGTATCTTATTGCCACAAAGAATCTATTCTGCCAGTCTTATGATCTCTGTTTTAATATTAATGCTGTTCAGTTGTGTCTAAACTTCAAAAGGGAGTTGGGATAATGAGGCATGTCTGAGTTCCAGCCCCATCATGGCTGGAAACTCAGTTTTTAAGGTTTCTTTGGGGTCCTGTTGGCCAAGACTGACCCTCCTCTGTTGACTGGGGAGGGGTCTTAGGATTTTATTTTTACTTCTCACATAGAATGATAGTTACCATGGGGGAAATAAGAGCAGAGTATAGCAGTGGAGGAAAGGTAGTCAGAGAAGATCTTGCTGAAAAGAATATTTGAAAGAACTTAACATATTCTACAGGGCATAAATAAGGCTTTTATTTAAAGGTATAACAAGAGAAAGAGAATGTAAGCAATCTACTGGGAGTCCAAGAGAGTCCATGTGCAAGGTCCCCAGCCTCCTTATTTTCACTGGATTTTATTTGTGCTTTTTGCCTGAATTGAACCACCAAGATTCATGCCAGGACTCTTGGCTAGGGCAGAGCTCAAAGCGGATGTCCCCTGCGGGGTTTATATACCCCTCTGGCTACATAATCAAGCCAGCCATCTAACTGGTTAGGCTAGGCTTTGCTTATCTTAGCTAAGAGTAAAACTCAGACATCTGGGAGCTTTTTCAGCCAAGCTGTAAATCGACTTATCTTCCATACCACTTTAAGCAAAAAAGGAAAATTTTTGAAAGAATCAGAGATAACTGACAGAAGAGAAAGAGAATTCAAGGACCTCAGAAACTACAAGATTCGGGAATATAGGAAGGCAGTCTCATGTCGACAGTGCCACTAGAATTAATGAACTGCACCTGTCTTCAGTCTTAGTGACACTTTGTAAAGATTTAAATTCCAGGGAAACTGCACTTGATTGGCCTAGATTGGGGTATGTGCCCTTCCCTGGAAAAAGGGATGAAGTCAGCCCACCTACCTATGTGAACTGAGAGTGAAGGGAGGGCTATTTTGCCAAAGAAAAATTGGGCTCTGTTACTAGATAACAAGAAATTACTGCTGCATAGGGAACAGTAACTCAGTCCATTATAATCAGATTGGTTAAGAATTAAGAGTGCCCAAATACTGATAAGGGTGTCAGCAAATGGGAACCTTAATATACTTTGGAAGGACATGTAAACTGTTTTTATAAAGACAATAAAAAGTATCCTTTAGCCAGCAATTATACTTCTAGAAATTTAACCTGCAGAAATACTCATACATTCAGTCAAGAATATTATCCAACAGTGTTATTCATTGCAGCTTTGTGTATAATCATGAAAAATTTGAAACCTTGAAAATGTTAGTTAAGTAAAAAATGGTATAATGTTTATACTTTGATACTACTATATAATCCTTAAAAAGAAAATTGGTTAAATAAAATATGGTATAATGTTTATACTTTGATAATAATATATAATCCTTAAAAAGAACATGCTTCCATAGAAAGAGCTCCACTATGTACTGCTAAACAAAATAAGTCAACTACATAATCATTTGTAAAGTATGATCCCATTATATGGTCTTTTAAAAACTATAAGTATAGGCTGGACTTGGTGGCTCACACCTGTAATCCTAGCACTCTGGGAAGCAAAAGTGGGTATATTGCTTGAGCTCAGGAGTTTGAGACCAGCCTGAGCAGGAATGAGACCCTGTCTCTACTTAAAAAATAGAAAAACCAGGTGGGCATAGTGGGACATGCCTGTAGTCCCAGATACTGGGGAGGCTGAGGCAAGAGGATTGCTCAAGCCCTACAGTTTGAGGTTGTTGAACTATGGTCAACATACGTTGAACTATGATGCCACGGCACTCTACCCCAGGCAACAGAGTGAGACTTGTTTCAGAAACAAACAAAAAAACACATATACTATAAGTACTTGTGTGTATATATATATATATATATATATGTATATATGTATGTATGTATGTATGTATACAGAGAGAGAGAAAAGAGAAAGAATGAGAGAGAGAGTTTATGTCAAACTCTCTCTATAAAGAGTCTGGCATAATGTAAACCCTTGCTAACCCAGCAATTATAATTACTGTTCCTTGTAAGTATAACAATATGTGCATATGAAATCTGATTGTGGGACCATAAAAAGTTATCACAGAAATATGTGGAAATTACCCAGAGAGGGAAGCTGGTAAATCCTGAATTCAAGAAGAACATTGCATAATGATACTGTATTAGCATCCCAAGGAAACAAAGCTTCTTTAAGGACACTCACCAAGCCCTCAAAGAGACTGTCAGTCATGTTTCTACTCTGCGGGGGATGGCTGCTCTGAGAAGGTCACATCTTTCTGGTAACTACACTGGGAGAACAGCAGAACTGGAAGAGTCAGCAGTCTTCACTGAGGACTCATCTGAAGTTTGACTTCCTGAGAACTTGTGTTGCAAAACAAAGTGATTATTTTATTTGCTATGGGAGGAAAGGGAAGAAGATATAAAAATAAGAATATAGATTCTCTAGAAGAATACAGTCATGCATTGCTTAACCATGGGAATATGTTCTGGGAAATGTATAGTTACCCAATTTTATCACTAACCTAGATGGTAGTGGTAACTCAGTGGTAAACTTAGCCTGGTAGATATGCTATATGGCATGGCCCTGTGGTCCCCAAGTCCTGGACCAGGACTAGAACCAGTCTGTGCCCTATTTGGAACTGGGCTTCACAGCAGGAGGTGAACAAGCAAAGCTTCATTCGTATTTATAGCAGCTTCTCATCACCTGCATCACCCCCTGAGCTCTGCCTCCGGTTAGATCAGCAGCAGCCTTAATCCTCATAGGAGCAAAGACCCTACTGTAAGTTGTGCATGTAAAGGATCTAGGTTGCACAGTCCTTATGAGAATCTAATGCCTGATGATCTGAGGTTGGGATGTAAAGTTCCTGAATCACCCCAAAACCACCTCTCACACTGGTCTGTGAAAAAATTGTCTTCCATGAAACTGGTTCCCAATCCCAAAAAGGCTGGAGATCACTGCCATAGCCTATTGCTCTCAGGCTACAAACCTGTACTGGCAATTATACGGTAGGTACAGCAATTGTGGTAACTGTGTATCTAAACACATCTAAACATAGAAAAGGTACAGTGAAAATGTGGTATTGTAATCTAATGGGACCATCATCATACATGTGGTCTGTTGTTAAACTAAACATCATTAAGCAGTATATAACTGTATTCAGCTTTAAGAAGAGGGGCACTCACCCTATACTCCAAATGCCCATCTCTCCTCTCCCTCACTTCCTATCCATTACCCCCTTCCCAAGATTCTTATCATTGATGAGAAGCAGACCCCAGCTAGTTCAGTCCACCCTCAACCCATACAGCCTTGAAAAGGCAAACAGAATAGTGTTTTTAAAAATATTTTATTATAAAAGTAATACAAGATATTTATAGAAAAATAAAGAAAGAAAATTAAAATCATCAATAATTCCATCACTCTGAAAAAAATTACTTTTAATGTGCTGGTATTGGTTAGTCTATTGCAACATTTCTGAAATCATATATACTTACATAATTGTTCTTGTAACTGATAACATAAGCATTTCCCATGTTGCTACAATCTCTTAATAGCAGTAATTTTACTAATTTTATTGGCTAAGTGGGTGTCTAACAGAAGAGTCTTGATGTGGAGAAGTGCTGAGGCACAGAGGACACAGTCAGTCATCTGGGATCGTGTTGTCTGTGGCTCTAGCACAGGGAGCTTCAGGACTCATATAGATTACTGTGGAACAGTCCTTCTCCTTGGGAACTGCAGTGTTCCCTTGTCTTCCCCCACAGAAATTTAGGCCAGGAGACACCAAATCCTTGTCTCTGATTCTTCTCCCAAATCCCAGGGCAAGACAACAGAAGCTAAATGTGGTTCTGGTAATCGGGCTCTGTCTCTTCAGTCTCCGGGTGCATGAGCAGTGAGTAGGTGATTGTATTCTCGACCTGGGGAGACCAGAAATGAGCAATGGGGGTTCACAGTGAGCACATAGCACAGAAGGCATCAGCAGAGGCCTTCGGGAAGAAGGGAGGCCAGAGAAGGAAAAGCAGGGCACTGGGTTTACCCACCTCAACTCTGGCAGCCTCCTCAGCATCAGTGACATTGGCTGTGGGCAAAAAGAAGACAAATCAGCTGGGGCACTGCATAAAACGGGGCCTACATGTGCTGATGCTGAGGCTGCACAAACAAAGCCCAAACTAGACCTAAAGCAAAGACTGCTGCCCCACCTCAGGCTTGGAGGCCAAGCAGCGGATTCATTTGCCCACCCTAAGGGTGTCCCACACGCAGCCCTCCCCTGCCGGCGGCACAGGCAGCAGGAAGCAGTCCTTTGTGCTACTGTCTGTTCAGATGATTGCTGACCTCTCCTCGAAGCAAACCAGGCAGCTTGGGGGATCTGAGATATCGGGAAAGTGGGGGTGTTGGATGTCAGAGTGAAGTGGTCTAGGTATTTTCTGGCCACAGACTTCAGGGCAAGAAGACATTTCTACAATGTCCAAATGTAGGGCATCCAGATAAAACTGTAAAGACCCAGTACTCCGTGGAATTGGAGAGAGTGAAAGTGGCATTAAAAAGGAAGAGTGAGTGAAAGTGAGTTTCTCAGAGAGAAATGGGAGAGGAAAGGAAGGAAGGGACGTATAGAGGGAGAGAGGGGGGAGGAAAAGAAGGGAGGAAAAGGAGGGAGGGAGGGAGGAAAGAAAGAGAGAGAGAAAGAGAAAGAAAGAGGAAGGGAGGGAGGGAGAGAGGAACGAACTTAGTCTGGTAAATATTCAAAGCACACCAAATTTCCACTAGCTGTGAAAACAGCCTCTGTATCAAAACTGGCAATTCTTGGAAGCTGGGGCGGAGTCTGAGACAATGCATCTAGTCTCTTTTCTCATCCCTTGGACACAAACAGCCTTTATTTGCCATGCTCCAAACTCTGCAACAAACCACATTCCTTTCTTTTTTTAGAGACAGGGTTTCCCCCCTTGCTCAGGCTGGTCTTGAACTCCTAAGCTCAAGCAATCCACCCACCTCAGCCTCCCAGAGTGCTGGGATTACAATCATGAGCCTCAGCACCTGGCCACAAACTACATTCTAAATTCCCCTTCTCATAAAACCCGTGGTGATCCCAGAGACCTAGCTACACCTTCAGGAAACCATCAGCCCCAGCACCTGGCTGCCCAAATGCCTTGTGAAATGTGTTCACGCCACTGGAGACAGAACCACACGTCCAGATCCGGCTGTGTCTGGACTGTCTTCTATCTAGTTGACTCAGGTGTGGACGGGCCCATATCCCACGGGCCTAGCCACTGGACAGGCAGACCTTGCTCAAAGCACAGCTGGGTGGGTGATATTTTGCTCAAGCTCTCAAATCTGTTGGCTCTGCTCTGAGTCATACTCCAGCCATCTGAGGTGGAGTCTTTGAGTTCTCTTTTTCCTGTTGGTTTCTACTGTCATGGAAGCACCCAGAGAAAGCTCAAGTTTCCTTTGTGCTCTGACTTGAGCTACAGTCAGGAAGTGCCTGGAATCCTCTTGCTCCTGTAAACACTCTCACTGAGCAGGACTTCAGTCCTGAAAGGGCTGAGAGGTCATCCTGGCCACCCACTCACTTCCTCAGTGAGGTGACTCCCAAGAAGGACAGTGACTTGCTCAAGATTTCATGGTCTGATGGTGGCAGAACCAGGCCAAAATTCAATAAACCTTCCCGAGTGGGAGGGCATTGCCCATTAGAGCCCCTAGTCCCCCAGAGGTTTCTCAAGCCCAAATGTCCTCTTCATGTTCCATGGAGGGCTGAGCCTGGCCACCCCTCTCCCTCTCTCCACAGACTGCTCAGCAATCCCAGTTTCCTCCCTAGGGCTCCCCCTTCAGACTCCCCCTCCCTCTTAGACTCCTATCTCCTGGATCCTGTGTGCCCCAGCCTCACAACTCCTAACCCTACCCAAATATCTCTGATTTCCTGCTCTGGAAAAATCCCACAAATTCAGACACAATCCTCGCCTCTCTATCTGGGACCAACGTTCCCCTTCTAACCTCCAGTGAGGTCCTCTTCAGGCCCAGGAGTTAGACTCAGAACTGACCAAGAGATTTGAGCCCTGCCCCGCTCCAGGCCCCTCCCCTTCATGAAGCTCCCAGCTGAACTCACACAAGCCACTTCTTGCTGGCTCCAGGCCACCTGGCAGCCCTGGGTGGGACATCACTGACTCCCCAAACACTGTACTCACCTGGGTCCTCTGGGAGGATCTCTCCCATTTCCCTGTGCTCAGGGTTTCCTGGGAGGGTAGGAGGGGCATAGCAAGTTAGTAGGATTATGGGATAGGGCCTGGATCCTCAGGACCAAGGACAAGGGGCAGGATTGGGTTAGGAACAACACAGATCCTCCCTCTCACAGACACTTCTTCTCCTCCCTCCTCCCCAGCTCCTCCAGCAGGGATTCTCTAGCCTGAATTATGGTCTAGAAAGACCAAGTGGTGGGGACTCCTAGGAGGGTCAAACAGCCACTCCATTACATCTTTCATACCCTTTTCAGTGTCTCTGAATCTCTCTGTTGATTTATCACTAACTGAGGTCCTGAACCAATTGCAAAGTGCTTTGTGAGATATTAGTAGTATTACATTTCCTTTCTGGGTGACGCACTCCTCCCTCGACCCCTATGTGAGCCACAGTAGTCCTCCCTCCATGCCTTGGCCCCATGCCTGGAGTGTCCTCTTGGCCTAACTAACCGCTGCCATCACATGCCACCTCTTCATACCTATGTGCTGTCACTGTCTACTAGGCCCTGGGGGAAGAGCTTCAGCCTCTTTCATCCTCATAACACTTTGAGGTGGCTTCTGTTAGTGTCCCCATTTCCAGATGATGACACTGAGGGACAGACAGGTGGGCTATTTCACCAAGGTCAGGTAACTGTTGAGCTGTGAGGCTGCAACTTGAACCCAGGCAGTCTGGCCACCCAATATGTGCTTCCATCACTGCACTACACTGCCCCCACGGAATCTGCTTGGACCACCACAGCCCATGCTGGACTGTGGAGCCGCCTCTGTACCCCTGTCACAGCCTTCTCACTTCTCTGTCACTGCTCTTGTCCCACCTTACTATAACGATCTCCCCACAATGCTGAGAACTCCCTGAGGGCAAGGACCAGACTTCCATATCTTGGTGTCACCCACAGCATCTGGCACATCATCTGACACATAAGCAAGTTTGTTCATGTCTTTAAGAATGAATAAATGAATGAATGAAATACAGATCTGTACCTGAATGATGGAATTCTCTAGCCCAAAGACAGGAGTTATGAAAACATCTGGCATCAGAGCCCCTCCCAAGCAGAAACCAAAACCCAGAGGGGCAGAGGGGAGCCACAAACCTGAAGTTTGCTTTCTCTTACGGTAGGTCAAGGCTGCTATGACAGCGATAATGGCCACTACAGCAATTCCAGCGACCACAGCCACAATCATCACCATCGGCGAAGAGCTGCTGTCTTTGGGCCCTGGGGAAGACAGACCTCAGGACAGGCAGTACTCTCCCTGTCCCACCTCCACCCTCCTCCCCCTCCCCAGGACTTGTCACCTGAGCTGTCCTGTGTCTGGGTCACTCACTGATGCAATACTCAATTCACACATCCCCTCCCAAACTCGCCTGCATATCATTTCTGTGGCTGCACTTGAGGGAGTGTCTGCCAGCAGAGGGATAGGTCCCCTTACCCCTCAGGGACAGACAGTGGGGAGGCTAGGCCTGAAGCCTCCCAGAGCTGGAAGCATCACTACTCTATCAAGCATAGCCTTGAACTGTCCAGGATATACCAGGCCCTCCATAGTGAATGGCCGTAACCCAGGAAATGAGAAGGAACAAGGCAAACCTCAGGAGCTTGAGGAACCTCTGCACCAATGGGAGACCTCAGCCTCACTGCAGTATGGCTCCTGCATTTCACAGGGGGACAACAGCCTTGTCACCTATCACCTGGCAGCTGAGGGCTCCAAGCTCTGACCCCTACTCTCATGAACCAGCCCACACTGAGCAAGGCCTCCACCCCTCTCCTCTTTGCCTCTGCGCCCAATGTTGTGCTGTGGCTTCTCTCAGGTCTCCATGTAGGCCCATGTGGCCTCAGCCCTTGTCCCCCCTTCTTTCTCTCCCCTAAATCTTGGCATACTTTGGACAGTGATGACCACAGACTGGGATGAATGGGCTGTCGGTCCTATTTTTCCTTTGCAGTAGTAGTCACCACTGTGACTGGGGTTTGCTTGTGGGATGGAGAAGCTGGAATTGAGATGGGAAAACTTCTTGGCTATTCCATTCTGGAAGAATGAGATTTGGGTCAGAGGCTTGTTCCTCCAGCTGTGGCACCTCAGCGTGATGCTTTCCCCCTCCTGGAACTCCAGGTGAGGGGTCTGGAGCAGCAGCCAATCTGAAAGACACAAGAAGACTCTTTGTAAGTTATTAGTAATATTATGTTCTCTTTCTAGGAGAGACTGTCCTAGGAGTCTTGGTTCAACTCTGAGACCCAAACCATCCTTACTGGGGGGACACAATGTGCAAGTGGAACAGCTGACGTTTGAAACCAGACAGTCCTGGACTCTAATTCTGGCTCCATCATCTATAAGCTCTGTAATCTTGGGCAATTAACTTAACCATTCCAAGTCTCAGTTTCCTCATCTGTGAACATGGGCACAATAATGCCACATATCTACAAAAGTTCCTGGCACACAGCAGGTGTTCAGGACACACACGTCTTCTCTTTCCTTTCCTAGAGAAGGTAGTTGCAGCCCTGTCCTGGCTGTGAGGCCTCTGCAGGAAGGACACAAGAGATCCCAAGATGCAGTCCCTTCCCTGGGACCAGGGTCGAGGAGTAAGGGAAGAGTCTAGCCTGACTGAGGCCGTGACATGTGAGGAGGACACAGCAGACACATAAGTCTTCGGGGATAGTAGAAAATCATTAACCTGGCTCGGCGCCTGTGGCTCAACCAGCTAAGGCGCCAGCCACGTACACCTAAGGTGGCGGGTTCGAATCCCCAGCCCCGACCCGCCAAACAACAATGACGGCTGCAACCAAAAAA